AAACTAAGCAGTTATAGTAAGACGAAAAGAAAAACTCACATTCTACCATGGTAGCCATTCGAAGAAGATGTACTCGCATGGTGACGCTGTCGAGAAAGCGTAAACATCCTATCAGAGTGGTTTCCACTAAAAAACAGAACAAATAGAGGAATTTTTGAGCAGTAGTCTACAGGAAGTAAAAATGAGGCGGGCAGCAGAGATCTAATAGGAAAAATGCTGAGAAGATAGTCGATTATTTGAAAGATAGAGGCTTTGAGAAACGAGGCACTCGCTCAGACTGAAATTTTCAGCGAAACATAGACAATAACACAAGCTATATGTAACAAAAGTATAGAAAGAATGCAGCACTCAAAATTACAAAAACTTCTTAATTAGTAAAGTGATAGGTCGTAAGAAGGTCCAAGCAATATACCATAAAACCTCGGAACAGCCTCCTTTATATCCGCAATTTTGCAAAACCAATTCTGAGCAATTTCCACTGTATCGGGTAGTATATCATTCGATACGAAGTTGCTTGATAACTCAGAATATCCAGCTAACTGCCGTTCCTGGAATCAGAAGAAGGAAGTTTATTTAAAAAATGAAAAACAAACGGATATACCGTTCTTATAGATACAGATGACTCCTTAAAACCTAAACTACCTCATTTGCCTTGGCGAGTAAACGCTCATAAACGAGGTTCCCAAACAAGTCCAGAATATCAGTGATGAGAACCCACTGAACAGGAAAGAAGCTTGGGCTAGTGGGAGCCGATAGCATACGAGCCAATTCAGTCATGATCTGTAAACTAAAGACTGTAGAACTATGTAAAAGAAGCCTAAAAGCTAGAATTAAGGATAACCATACCTGACAAGAAATAAGAAAATCAACTTCTCAATCAACCTACCCGAACGGACTCAACTCTTTGATTGTCTTCCCAGGCCGCCAAAAATTTCTCCCGCAGATCGTTTATATGCGTGACTAGTTCATTTTCGGAAATGTCCGACATCTTTCGCAGTCCTGACATGTCCTCCAGCACTTCCAATCTGAAGACAATGGAGCTTTGGGTAAAGACAAAGAAAGAAGGAAGGAAAAATGTGCGTAATAATAAACAAAAGTTTCAACAACAAATACTAATAGATGAATAACATAACTACATGTCACTAAAATTGAGGTTAATTTATAGAAAATTATAGTCAAAAGTATTATCTAATCAAAACACAGAATGAAAGGCACCTGTGTCGAGTCTTGCTGCTCATGGTGAACTTAGCCGGAGACGACGATCCAAAAGTAGAATATGCGCCTTTCTTATCTGAAGCCTCATGCTCGTTCAAAATTTGCGCTCGCTTTGATCTCCACGGTTCAAAATCCGTCAATTCAACGTCTAAATCAAGAAGATAATGAGCTGGAATTCCAAGTCTATAGAATACCATACCTCTGACCGGACCGTCTTTGCTCTTAGTTTCAAGAGTGTTATCTAAAATCGGTTCCTTTTTTGGTTTAATATCCTCAAGAGCATCCAAGTCAAGTCGAGTGACATTAGCTGGAAGTTCCTCTTCGATCGTTGCACCTAAAATGATAATTTCGCTCCCATCTTATAAAAACCCCTGCAAACATACCTAGGGGGTCTATAAAGTCGTATTTCGAGTCTTCCTGAGACTGCTGAGATGTCTCTTTATGCAGAAAAACAGATGGCGGAAGTAATGGATGCCGAAAAGCAGGTTCCAAATCAGTGAATGTGGTCCTCGTTCGTTGCGGATAACGAA